TGCAACATAAGCTACTCAAACTCGTGTATGGGGGAAATTATTTCGGGCCCATTGCCGAGACGTTACAAGCTCGACCAGGTCACAAACCTCGGGTGCTAGATATATGCACTCGGAACGGGGCCTGGTATGTATTTGATGCCCGGATCACCTTGTATGCGAACTGAATGTATACTGGGACAAAGGGTTCAGGAGATGGCACAAGAGTTCCCCCATGTCCACTTTCTCAGTCTGGATATGGCACCTATCGTCGACCACATCCCGAGAGCGAATGTGACATTTGAAGTCTACGATATATCAACCGGTATTCTAGAGAGCAACGAGGCTTTTGACTTTGTGAGGATAGCACATATAACTGAAATAGTACGTGAGCGTCTGTTCGGATTATGGTGCCGACTGACGGACGTGTTTCACGACCCTAGATCAAGGATGTGCCAGGCGTTTTGAAAGAGGCCCAACGGCTCCTGAAACCAGGCGGGTTACTCCTCGTAGTAGAGTCTGAAACCACACTCTACGAGAGCCATAACACCGATCAACCTTCACTGGACTCGACCCCACTTACGTGGAAAGCGATCGACACCTTGCACCGTATGTTGGCTGCACAAGGGGTCGAAGTAAATACCTGTCGGCTGGTTGCGGAGTGGCTGTCACCGGAATCCCACCTCTGGGAGAACTATGAGCCCAGGTTCTTCCTCCCGTTTGAAAGCATCGGGTCGGGGACCCAGACTGCTCACGCTGGTGGGTGGGATACAGACATCAGGCTACAGGAGATTCGACTACTGCTAGCACAATATGGAACTGTATGCTGGAGAAACTTGGGTGCAGCTATCGCCACGCTAGGGTTATGCGAACAAGATGTACGGGAGCTTGTTGAAGGTGCTGTCAGGGAGCTGAAAGATCCTTGCACATCATACGCAGTAAAGTTCCACCATGTCTTTGCTCGCAAAGGCCCAGCACTTGAGTAGCGCGCGTATCTATGTTGTATTTTGGCCCAAGTTTGTGATTTTTCGGTCAACATTTATTTACGTTCAACGCATTAACAAATGGATGTACATTACTCGTTCCTGGTCCTATCGTCGCAGTTGTATTTCATCAATGCATGTATTATATAGATTATGGTTTGGGTAAAATGTACACAGTGATGGCGGAGGACGGGCGGCGATTTCCATCAGTATGGTTATTCAGGCTTTCATGGCCTTTTGCAAGGTCTGGTCAAGAGCTGGGTCAGCGTGCACTCCACAATCAGCTATGCCACTCTCACCTTTTCCATCTCATCAAAATCTTTGGTCTCGACCCGCAGGATGGGGTGGTGGAGCGCCTTTTCAATAGCATTCATCTCTTCCCAGGATCGCCTGTCATGTACAAAGTTGATTGCGATGCCCTTGCGGCCGAAACGCCCAGTGCGGCCTAAGTGCCAAGTTAGGAATATGGAAATCTGGCGGAAGTATCACGCACCGATACGATGTAGGTACGTCTCAGGATCGGGCTTTCCGTCACCCGTAAGGGGCATATCGTAGTTAACAACCATGTTCACTTGGAGGATGTCAATGCCACGGGAAATGACATTGGTCGTAATGAGCACTTTAGATTTGCCGTCTCGAAAGGCGTCAATCGTTGCATCCCGTTCAGCGGCGTCTTTGGCACCGTGGAGCGAAGAAACCTGGTGACCTTCTGCCGACATGCGTTGAGCAATCTGGTCGGCAACATCACGGCGCTACAGAAATCCGTTGGTCTATGTTTCCTTGGTAGAGACAGACACACACCTTGCAGAAGATGATACTCTGCCCGATCGTGAGGAGACTGTATAGATCGACTAAGACGTCATACTTGTGCTGTTCGTTCTTGCAGTCCATGTAGAATTGCTTGATACCCTCGACGGAAAGCTCCTCCGCTTTCAGCTTGATTTCGTTTGCTGATGGCGCAAATTTGCCAGCAAAAACCCTGACATGTTCCGGGAAAGTCGCACTAAACAAAACGATCTGGCAGGTTTTGGGCATTTGACTAAACAAAGCAGCATTAGTACGACGCTACATCTCATATTCGCCGCCTTACTTCTTGACCCGTAGAGTCTGATCGCCTAGTCCCTGCTGGTCAAGCATGTTGTCTGCTTCGTCAAGGACGAACACCTTAACTCCGGAGATATTAATGGCCTTTCTCCTGATCATGTCGGCCGTCGTTCCGGGCGTGCCAATGATTATTTGTGCCTGCACCGGAGCGTCCCGCGGAGAATCCTTGATCGCATAGCCTGTTGTAATCTTGGTGAATTGGCCCATCGTGGTTACGACACTCATAATTTGACGAGCAAGTTCTCGGGAAGGAGTGAGGCATATAGCCTAGCAAAGGTTAGAAGGAGACCATCAATCGACACAAGTACGTACCTGTGGAGCTGGGTTGCTCTCATCAACGCGACTAAGCATGGTCAATACGAATGCGGCCGTCTTTCCGGTCCCGGACTGTGACTGCCCAATCATGTTACGCGGGCTGAAGAAGGGCGTGGGCTGCGATACTTTTATAGTGTCAAACTACTTACGGGTTTTGAAGCAAAAGGGGCAAAGCACGTTCTTGGATCTTGGAGGGGCGTTGAAACTTCATGGAATAGATCCCCTTCAATAAGTTTTCGTGGCTAAGCAACTTGGTAGCAGTGCTTCTAAATTACCGCATCATCCAACACGACTTACAGCCCAAGCTCTTCAAATGTCTTGATGCTATAAAGGGGCGAATTTGGATCGGCTTGTTGATCCGCAAGTGTGACCTTGGGCTCGTGTAAATATGCCGGTAGTCCCCTATGGAAAATACACTCACTGTGACTTCAAAGGTCGACTTGAGCAAGTTTGTGGCAGCATCATCTGCCCCTAGATCTCCCATTTGGGACGTAATATTGTCTACAGCCTCATCTAAACGCGCCTGAGTAAGAATTTGTAGCAACTTTGAAGTGGGCTGGGACCATGCCTTCTTTGGGATTTGCCTCCTCCTTGGTCTCCTTGCCAGGAACAGACTCGATCCACCCGTCGTCATCCTTTGCGATTGAACTCATATCCGAATATATAGTAGTAAGAATTTACTCTAGAAAAACGTGCCTCGATTGGGTATGCTCGAGGTTGGGACGAGGAGTTTTGAGTGCGCAAAAGTCACATGATCCCAGCGCTAGATAAATTAGATGCTCATGCCTATTTTGGAGTGAGCACCAACGACGACTGGAGATGCACTCTGGGTCCCATAAATTTCACGTGCTTGGCAATGACAAGAACACGAGCGACGCGGCGATTGGACTCGATTACACGGACCTGCACGAACACCGTGCCATCGTTCCACGACGGATCCGTCAACTACCAAACTATGAATTTGCCATCCGGTTTGTAGGAGCGGGATTGAGTAGTCAGTATCAACTACTCCGTTCATTCGTCTTTATATACTTAGTACTGCTTCTAGATATGTTCAGTTCTGCCATCACAAACCCCATCGACGTGTAAGAATCTAGACATTTAGCATCATATCTGAGAACAGCTGAGCCGACACGTAGACTTACCCCCCGTAACCCCCAAAAGCATCAAAGTACGTACGAATGAGTCATCGAAGTGGCCGCTATTTAAGCTCGAATGCTGTAGGTCCGTCAGCAACTCCAAACGGATAGTATGTGTCATGCTCGCTTCATTAGTTACGTCTGAAACTGACATCCTTCAGGATCCACCTCAAGGTCGTTCTTCAATATAGCCAGGGGAATGATTGGGTCAGAGGGTGTACTTTCTCTTACGAATGGTGTTAGTGCTGGCGTGCTCAGAGAGGGTATATACGCCACTATTCGCTTGGGCACATATGAGGCGCACAAAGACCTGTGAGTGGATCCTCCTGGAGTCCGCCCTCGCCCTAACGTATCCCCAACGCCAGCCTATACGACCTTTCAAACGGAGCTCTCACTAGGGAAGGCATCCCGCTGAAAGCTCTATCGGGACTGATGTCTGGGGCAATAGGAGCTACAATAGCCAACCCGACGGATCTCATCAAGAGTAACACACCATCCACCCCAATGCAAATGTGTATTGACCACAACCTAGTTCGTATGCAGGCATATCATAATCCTCCGGTCCCGGAATACTCAAGCATACTGTCCTCCCTTCGGTGTGTTTACAATGAAGGGGGAGGTACGCTCTCTGGGGGTCTGCGCTCGTTGTGGCGTGGGACAACTGCTACTGTTACCCGTGGTGCAGTCATCACCGTCGCGCAGATAGGTTCCTACGATCACTTCAAGCAAGTAATCAAGAGCCGCAAACTCATGGATGAAGGCATGCCTTTACATTTGACTTCGAGTCTCTTTGCTGGGTGAGTGCCGACCCAAGACATCGTGGGCCTCAGCTAACTGGCGTTCAGTTTGGTGTGTTCCATCGCGTCCAATCCAGTTGGTAAGTCTGTCTCTCAACGTTTCTGGGTCAAATTTAGACATTTGATGGTAGATGTGATCAAAGTTCGCTTGATGAACGACCACGAACGCATGTATCGTGGGGTCTCGGATTGCATAATCAAGACATTTCGCAAGGAGGGTCCCCTAGCGTATTACAAAGTCAGTGTATGCGTCTTTAACTAATTATTAAAAGGCTGACCTTTTTGCAAGGGATTTGGCATGTGCTGGATTCGGGTAAGGATATTTATTTTCTATTAATCGATGTCTGACACACCAGTGTTAGCTTGGGTCACATACCACCCTGACTCTACTGCTATACGAGCAATTGCGTGCTTGGGCTGGAGTGCGACCACTTTGATATGAATATTGAACACTAGAATTCTATGCCCGCATATATACCTGGTACTTATAAATGCATATAGAGATAAATGCTATTATTCTAATATCTATTTGTTCAATGCGAGCGGGAAACACCAGTCATCTAGCATAATGACACCGATCGAGCCAACACGTTGCGCAGCAAAATATTCAGGCATGTATGGAGGCACGTAGATATACAATGGATTCCGGCAGGTAAGCCAAGCGCAAAAAGCAAGATTAAAAAGATCTCTCCCAGTTAGGCTCGAACTAACAACCTTCTGATTTGCTGACCTCAGCCAATGAGGTTAACAGTCAGACGCGCCACCGATTGCGCCATAGGAGACTTGTTAAATTATCCCGGTTGGTATTTATATTGCCCTCCTATTGATGCGCTCGCCGACTGACACGACCATAACCTTGAAACATCATTTCCACAACCACCACATGCGGAATGACTCTCCCACTACACCCAAAGAATGGCAAAAAATCCTTTGGAAAAAACAACCTTTTCCAGATAACCACCTCCCACCCAGTTTCCTAAACTCCCTCCAACACAACCGTAAGCTCTCCACCTCGCTCACCCCACCCACAACTAACCCACCCAAAAAAGTCAACCTAAAACAATACACCTACACCTCACTCTTAAAAACCGTCCTACCCGTAACTCAACACCTCGCCAACACCACACTCTTCCTCTCCACCTTTGCCCGTCTGAAAACCAACCGACTCGACCCGCGCGTGCTCGTCTACTTTGGCTCGGGACTATCCATCCTTGGATTCGGGATTTACGAAACGGGTGCTCCGCGGTTGGGTCCGCCGGTATCTCATCGACTCGCACAAGCGGTTAAATCCTCGATTCTGGTTTTTCTCGCACTGGCATCTTTGGCACCTGTTTTGCGGACGTTGACAGCCGCGACCTCGGACGATTCGATATGGGCTCTGGCAGCGAGTTTGTTCATCTTGCATGCGGTCTTGGCGGACTATACCCCCGAGCGGGTGGGAGTTGTTCGTGAGAGGGGCGGAGAGAGTCAAGGCGGGTGAGTGCTGTCTTTTTTGTTTGCAAGGAGACTAATGAGACAAGATTGACTTCGGTACTTTCGATTAATGCGGCTGTGTCTGCGAGTGTTGTTCTTGCATCTCGGCTCCAGACGGATATTGCGGTGTTTTCGCTTATGCTTTATGCGGTTCAGTCGTTTGCTTTGCTTCCTGTGTTGAGGCAGCGTCTTCAGGTGCGTGACTTGCTTCACTTTACGCTCTCACTGACAGGATAGTAGAGATATCCATTCCCCTCGTTAATACTCACATGCTTTGTTACCGGCCTCTCACTCGCAGCTCTACCCTCTCCTTCCCTCACACTCCCTCTCGCATCACTCCTAAGCCTCGTAACGTTTGGTTCTCCAGGTGCACTAGTCTGGAGCCAGAGATACAAAAAGTATGTCTGCTCCCATCTCCTTGAACACAACTAACAGTGCATATAGCCGGATAAGAGGCCCATGGGACCCAGCAGTCCCCCAACTCAACTCGAAAAAAGACTAGCATAGAAAAACATTTTTGAAACGGGGTATACATACAGTACACACATTTTCTAATCCGAGTAGAGCCATATAGTTTTACACCCTAGTAGATGTTCCACGTCTAATCAACCGAGTTAGTTTTTGTTAGTTTTATGGGAGGGAGAGCGCACCTTTCGCCATCCCAACCCCCAATAATCCCCAATCGGACCGGTGATTCCAAACGCAATACCTCTGAACCACCAAAAGACGCTAACAATAACCGATACAGCCGCACCAAACACGATCCACTTGGTTCGTTCGGCGATACGGGCGGCGAACACAAAGTGGTTAAAGAGATGGCCGACCATGAGGACCGAGAACCACAACGCGGGGAGCTACAAAGGTGTTAGTCAGAAACGACAAGCAATGAGTGAACGTACATAGTGGTGGATATAAGTAACTCGTCCCATGATCAAAAACGGCACTACCATAAATTAGCACCAACTCTACAGGACAAGAAGCGGACTCACAGAAATGAAAAGCCCATCCGAAAAACGCCAACTTGGTCACATACGCAAACTGATCCCACTCGCCCGGTCCAAAATCCACATACTTTCTCTGCGCACGCATCAAAAACATCCCAGTCGCGAACAAACTCAATCCGAGCGCGATACTTCCCGACCACCAGACGACCGGATGGCCGAGGAGGTAGTACTTGACTTGGTCGTCGCCCCATCCGCACATTCGTAAACCGACGTGGAGGAACGGCCATTCGGTGGGTTTGGACGCGAGGATGTCTTCTTTGTCTGGATCTGGAATGAGAGCGTTGTTGGATGTCATCATTGCGATGTTTAGGTGCCAAAAGTCGCGGAGAAAGGGGGATGAGTAGAGTTTTGCGTTTCCGGGTGGGACTGCCGACAATGCATTAGTGCTGTGTCAAGCTTGGCTACTGGGACTCTCGTCTCGAATTCCAATGACTCTCCACATTCCAATACGTATGCGCATCCGTCTCGTCGTTTTCCTTTACACACGAAACCTCAATCTGCTTGAACCCCCACTGGGGCAAAATCGCATTCGCGGCGCGCAAATAACACCCCAGCGCCTGGTGCTTAAACCTCAACCGGGTCGTCAACGAATGGATCCGATCGACTTTTTCCCTCCGCCCGCGCTGCAAGTCATCCACGACCTCGACCACCCAGTGGTCATGATTGTCCCCGACCGTCGAGTTGCCATAACAACTCACTTCGTAATTCGATTTAGTGACCGGGGCTGTTACGGTGTGTGAATGCAAGTGCCGGGTGGTAGGAACGTGTTGGAGACGGACGACGGCGCCGTGTTGGAGCGGGACGAGTTCGCCGTTGGGGTCGACGTCGGGTGAGCCCCAGGTTGGGAGGAACGTCCAGTGGTTGTTGTCGTCTTTGTAGTGGTAGCAGGTGACTTGTTGTTGTTGTGAGCCGATGGGGTAGGTTTGGACGTGTGAATGTAATAGTCCTCCGCCGTATCCGACGTTTTTGAGCGTGACTTTGGAGCCGAGCATGATTTCTGTGGGGGTGTTAGTGTGGAGTGATATGTGTGAGAGGGGGACTTGCCTAGGGGGTTCTGGGCAAAGTCGTTGCCGACGAGGTTGGCTTGGAAGAGCGAGCTCATTTGGGCGTCTCCTGGGCCGGAATGGTTGAGGACCCAGAAATGCATTTTGAATGTGAACATGTAAATGAAGATGGGTAGGACGATCAAACACAATCCTCGGGCGATCCAGTGTTTGATGTATGTGCGCTGGATCATGTTAGTAGTGGTGAGTGTGTAATGAGGCGGACATACCACGGGCATTCGCAAGTCTCCGAATTTGTCCCAGAGATCTTCGATGGTATATGCGCCAACGAGAGCCGTGACAAAGAAACCGACCCACTTGACGCTGCACACGCAGCCGATGGACCAGCCAGTCGCTGCGAGCCATAACCACCAGTCGAACGAAAAGGACCTGGGACGGGTGAGAACGAGCCAGGAACGCGGATCAGGACTTACTGGTATTGCTGATTGGCGAATTTGGTGAGACAGAATACGGTAGTAAAGGTAAAGAACAGCAGCATGGAATCGAGGAGGATGAACCGGCTGATGCAGAGCCATGCGAGGTCTACGTGGCGTCAATCACCGCGTGTGAACGATCGAGGCAGACTCACCGCATAGGGTCATGATCGTGACAAGGTGGCAGGCACGATTCGAGAACCTGAGCTCTTTCGCGGTGAACCACGCAAGGGGGACCATGGCGACACCAAACAGAGCGAGCATGACGCGCATGGTGATGTACGGAACCGAGTCGGGGTACTTTTCGCCCGACTTGAATTCAAACGAGCCGTCGTAGCCGGACAGCAATCCAGCGAGTCCGACGAGCATCTTGCCCAGCGGGGGATGGACATCGAAATAAAACTCGCGCTTGAGGTAGTGGGAGCCAAACTTGCCAAAGTGGGCCTCGTCCCAGACGACAATGTCGGACTTGCCAATGTTGTAGAATCGTGTCCAGCACGAGAGGAGGGTGTATATGACCGGGGGGAGCAAATCGCTGTTTTGCTGGATAAATTCGGTCTGTGATGGGTCAGCGACTGTGGAAACGCGCATGTATGTGCTCACGATGTTGCTCGGTGGCGGCTGCTGGCGCCTAACTGGCCCCAGCCGACCGGTGTGGAAGCCCGCCTTGGCCTTGGCGTAGACATCCTTCGAGTCGTCGTCGTCGACGGGCCAGACATCGGGCTTTTCGGCGGCCGGATATCGCCGGCGGGTGGTGTCCTCCATGGCAAATGGAAGCTCGGAGGGGTGAATGTGCTCAAAGTCGTCTCCAATGTCGACCTGGTGATGCTGGCGGTGGCTCATCGTGCATACTGCAGACGTGTCTAGACGCCGCAGCAAGCGCCACGTGATGTAATGCTGAGATAAGCAGAGGGTGAAGTCCCACGAGTGACAACATTTCCGCAACAACGATGGCGGGGTTCGAAGCGACGGCGCAAGAGCAGCAGGTGATCAAGGCCGTCTTTTCCAAGGCCGACACACAGGACCTGGGGGTTGTGACTGGCGACGAGGCCGTCAAGGTGTTTCGGGGGTCTGGACTGCCCCCCACCACCCTGGGCGAGATCTGGCAGCTGTCCGACACCGACAACAACGGCTTCCTCACCGAGGCGGGGCTCGGCATTGCCCTGCGCCTCATTGGCTGGGCCCAGGCAGGCGAGACGCCCAAGAAGGAGCTCATTGTGCGCGGTGAGTAACGTAACGATGTGGTTGACGCGCGCTCACACGCCGCAGTCGGCCCGCTCCCGACGATCAAGGGCATCCCCATCCCGGGTGTGTCCTCCAACCCCGGCTCACCCATGCCGCGCTCTCCCCCTCCCTCGCTCCCGGCACGGCCTGTCATGCCCCCGCTTACTCCCGACGACCGCCAAAAGTTCCTGCGCATGTTCTTCCAGAGCGGGCCTGCCAACGGCCTGCTGAGTGGTGAGTGTGCTAGCATCCCATTGGGCCGTCTAACCCGTTGCAGGCGACAAGGCCCGCGACCTGTTTGTCAAATCCAAACTGCCAACCGAAAAGCTCAGCCAGATTTGGTCAGCCAGCTGTTCCTGATCAACATGCGTGAATTGACATTCCCCCAGGCAACTCGCCGACACACACGAACGCGGCTCTCTCGACTCGACCGACTTTATCATTGGCATGTTCCTCATCCAGGCCGTCATGACCGGCCAACTCCACATTCTCCCACCGACTCTTCCCCCTGGTCTCTACGAGCAAGCCAGCGGTGGCGCACCCCGCCCGTCGGTTGGCTCGCCACTGCAAGCACAGTTTACTGGCACCAGCAACAGCTCTCGAA